TTTGTAGTTGGTGTTGTTATTTGTAACTTTATACCGTAATGTCATCAAAGAGAGAGTTTGGCATCTTTGGCAATCCCCCCCTCCCCCCCCCTCCATGTCCTTGCCGTGATCACAAATTATTGTGTTCCTACTAAATTTCTTCTAAATCGGTTCAACGATTCTTGAAATAACACCATTTTATAAAATAATTGGTCACATCATCATAACGTGATCAATTTTACGATTTGGCCACGATATAAATGCATATTAGTGTTAAATTTGACTTATAACTTATTAATCAATAAACTTAAATGAGAAAAATTCAATAAAAATAAAGAAAAGATACCAATTGAAATAATTATAAAGTTATTTGTTTTCACCCGGTGTAAACACCCACGGGTGGAATGAAACGGGTTTTTATTGGGTTTTTACCCTCATGTGGGTTTTTACCCGGGTGGAAACCCATCTCTAGTTATGGTCCAGTGTTTAGGGACTGGTCTTCTTTTGACCCTTGTGTTAGCTCTCAGGTAAGCCTAGACGCAGACAACCGACTTTTAGCCCAGACGTAGACTACTGAGTTTTAGTCGGCTGGTAGTTGAACCTACCTAATGTACACAGTTTCATACAATGTCCATACTGATAACAGCCCGACCCAACTATCGGCCATCTAAAAGTATGTGGTCTGCGCCTAGGCTAAGACAGACAGGCAAATTAGGTTAAGATCATAATAGAATGCTTGGAGTTTCCCTGCGTGATCGAATCAGAAATGAGGAGATCCGCAGGAGAACCAAAGTGACTGACATAGCTCGCAGAATTGCTAAAATCAAGTGGCAGCGGGGCACATAGCTCGTAGAGACGATGGCCGTTGGGGCAGAAAAGTTCTTGAGTTTCGACCACGGGCTGGAAGACGTAGCGTGGGCAGGCCTCCTACTAGGTGGACCGACGATCTGGTAAAGGTCGCGGGAAGAGTCTGAATGCGGGCAGCGCAGGACCGTGCATTGTGGAAAACCTTGGAGGAGGACTTTGTCCAGCAGTTGACGTCATTTGGCTAGCAATGTACCCATACCCAACCCAACCCAATCCGTCTGGTCAACATGGAGAGTGTAAGACGAATCCTTAATTTGAATTTGGTAAATTAGAGACGATTTTGTGCTCCTGCAGTGGAGACTCACAACTTTGGTTATTAAGGTAAATAATTATTATTTACAGAACAACCTGTAAACTATAATTACACAATTAACTGACCACAGAAGTGTTATGTATGATTATTGTTGTATTGCATGTTATGGTATCATGTTATAATATGTAATTGGCATGCATGCAATGGGCAGTTTAATTTTTTAACAATAATAAGTATGTTTTATTTATTTTAGTAAAGTGTTACTTAAATACACAGTTGAAGCCGTATAATTATTTCTGTTTACATTTTTAGGTTTTTTGTTACATAAAAGCTGAATCTATACTAATATTATAAATGCGAAAGTAACTCTGTCTGTCTCTCTTTCACGCCTAAACCACTAAACCGATTTTAATGAAATTTGGCATAGAGATATGTAGTTTGAGTCCTGGGAAAGGACGTAGGATAGTTTTATTCCGGTTTTTGAAACAGGGACGCTCGCGATAAAGTTTTCTGTGACAGACAAAATTCCACGCGGGCGACGCCGCGGACGGAAAGCTAGTATGACCAGTTTAAAATGTTCAATTATATTATTTTGCAATCAAGCCTATATAAAAAACTGATTTACTGGTCTATACTTTGCAATGAGGGCTATCGTTTTAGAGCTCACCAGTTTGCGCCACTGTAGAGTAAGGTCCTGTCACTTGCTAGTAGCGAAGACAGTGGCACCAACTGGTGCGTGCTAAAGTGGTAGGAGGACTATCGCATTTGCACTCATCAAGATGGCGCCACTGTAGAGTAAGGTCCTGTCAATCGCCAGGGGTGCCAACTGTTAAGTATAAAAACGTTAGCCCTCATTAGGCAGTCGAAATACAGCTCTTTTAAGTTTTATTATAATTAATCCCTGCCAATGATGACATACGGATCTGAAACGTGGTTTATGGGCCTCATAAAACGGCTCAAGGTTACCCAAAAGACAATAGGAATGGCTTCAGGAATATCACGTTGACCAGTTTGAGAAGATGCAGCGTAAATAACTGTTATACGACATTTTGTCAGTTTACTCCAAAACTACGCTAAAATCCAACTACATCGTTCATAAAAAGTGCAAGGGAAAGCCTTCTCTAAAATCGAAAAATTAATAGGTTTCCAATATCCAGAAAAAGCAAGTTAATTTGTTAGGTCTACGGATGTAGGGTGTAATATTAAACTCACTTGATCACAGCGTAATTGAGAGCAGATTACGCGTCCCGTACATGTTGCAGGCAATTTGTGAAATTCGCTAAAGTTGGAAATGGCTGATGTTAATTTTTTGCACAAATGAGGTTTGTACCTATTTACGTTACATGTTTTGCTCTATTTTCAAATGCAAGGACTTTTTTTTTGCTCGTAAAATATAGCTGAAAATTTTGTTTATGTCCGATTTGAAAAATATTTTTGTATTAGATAGCCTTTATCGAGGAGGGCTATAGGTTATAAGATAATCACGCTAGAAAAGAAGCAGAGCATCAATGAAGTGTTGCGAAACCGGGAAACATTATCCAAACAATTTTAAGGATTTTAAGAACAGGCTTACTCAAATACATTCTTTTATATTATTCTATGACCAGAAAACCTAATTCGGTAACGGGATATGCATTATACAACAAAAAATAGTTTGATAAAAATATTTTAAACTTGTCCCAAATAATGTACTGTAGGTATATTTTAATATCGTCAGCATTAATCAAGGTTGATTTTCATCTGCTTCAAATGTTTCACTTTTGTCTTATTACGACTAAGAGAAATGAAATAATTAGACTAACTACTTTGCATTTTTTCAAGTAACATTTGATTATACAACTTCTTGTTAATTAAACGAGTTTAAACTTCAATAAAAACACCCGAATAAACAAATGTTTTAAAATATTTCAGGAAGGAAATATAACACAAAACAATGAATTGTGAAAAAAAAATCTTCCGATTTACCTATTTCCTAAATGTTACTAATAATAAACAGTGATTTTAAAATGTGCTATTGCATTTGGCAAATGTTTGCCTAGCTTACTAATAATACGGTTACTTTATTTGCCTACCTTGAAAATTAAACATGAAGGGGACTGAAATAAGGGATTTATGTTTATGAAATTCCGAATACACGAGTTAACCAAATAAGCTTGTTTTTAACGAACTTTTGAATAATTAATTAATATGACATACAGGGTGATTTTTGTATCAGTATCCAAATTTTCAGGATCGACTCAGAATCAGTAACTTAATTGATTTACGTAAAGAAAACAAAACTTTTTTCTCCATATTTAATTATTTTCATCCGCTGCGCGCGGTTTCCAAATTGACTCACATGGAAAATTTGATTCGTTTATGGAAAAATACGTACACACAGTTAACTGCAAAGCTTAATAGACATAATGGTGAGCGAAAATAAGCAATAACCTTTAAAACTTAAGTTATGGACACCCGCGGATTAGACTTTTTTTTGCGAAAAATACCACGATTAAAAATAATTACGATAAAGTTGTATTGTCAAATTGTTCTAACGAGCTTATTAAAAAAATTGGATACTGATAACAAAGTCACCCTGTATACTCCGCAAAATTGCCAAGCTCAAAGCTCGTAGAACTGATGGCCAATAGGGCGAAAAAGTTCTCGAGTGGTACCGGAAAACGTAGACATCCCTCGATGGAAAAACTTGACCTTCATTGGTTGGGTTTGTATGGCAGTCAAGCTGTAGATCCTGGCTACACAGGAGTTGCAGTGGTGGGAACGAGAGGTGGGAATAGTTCCGAATCCCTCGGTGAACCAAAGAGCTGGTAAAGGTCGTGAGAAGCACCTCTGGATGTAGGTAGCGAAAAAAAAAAGATTGGATATTATGAGAATCCGTGGGAATGGCCTTTGTCCAGCATTGACGGCACATTGGAGGCACATTGACGGCCTTTGTCCAGCATTGAAAGTTGAAGCGAACAATGCTAAAATTCTGGTCCTCGGGGCATCAGAAGTGGTAGTAGTATTGGAAGTGATCAATCATAATGTTAAAGTGATAAATCATTATAAATGGGTATCGATTTATAAATAATTAAACTTAGGCTAAGTTGCACCAACTAAATTTGACCATAGCTTTAACGATAACAGGTGTTTTTTGTATGGAGTTTGACACATTTTTGACGTTTGTCAAAGTTAAATTAAGATGGTGCAACCCAGCCTACTTAACAAAAAAAACTTATTAGTCGGAGCAATTCAAACCTGTTAACATTCCCAAAATACGTAATTGTCTGATTGACAACCGTTTGGCCACTTTTATTGTTGTATTTTTATTAGACTTTTAATTATTTAGCCGATCATTTATTTGGAAGTCTTAATATAAATCATGATCAAAATAACAATAAATGTTTCAGTATAATAAGCGGCTTAATATTATTCAATAATAAAATTAAGTCAGTTATTTTAATTTTAAAATAATTTTTCATTAATTTATAAGTTAAAAATGTACGGGTACTTAATTTTTTTTTTCAATATCTGACCTAGTCTGAAAATTCATAGACTTACAATCTCAATGATAAAACTTCAGATTTTTTTTCTGGCGTGTAATTAAAATTGAAAGCTGCAGTTTATCCGAGAAGCTATACCTACTCGTATACAAAAAAGCTGCAAGTCTTTATTGATATTATATTATAGGAATAATCTGAGACATTAAAATCGAGAGTTGTCAATTTTATCTGACTGCAAGTTTTCATAGATGAAAAATGCCAAGGAAAAAGTGTTTGTTCATACATGAATAATCTATTTAGACATTTCAGCAAAGTCCCTATGTGCCTCACTGACCTTGACACTGACCACTGAATCCGCACCGTCAGCAGAGAGCCACCACACACGCACACTGCCACGCATGCCTCAGTGCACTACCATACGATGCAACGATTGCACGCTCTAAAAGATTTATAGATAAATGCAGTTCCCGGTGAAAATAGATAAATGCCAGTGCTCATACATTTTCTACACATTTCAATAGACGCAACCGCACCGGCTGGACACGGCCCGGGACTGGACATCCGCGGTTTTAATTCAAAATGCAGTGCCGTGGAACTATAGTCCTTTTGTGCTTGAGTGTGGCAGCTGTCACCGCGGATTTAGGGGTCAGCCTCAAGCTCTTAGGCAGGGTGTACGACAGCTGCGAGGGGTCCCAGGAGATCGTCAAGTGTTTGAAGGTCAAAGCCGCAAAGTTCATCGACCGAGCCGCCCGCGCGGATAACCTCCCCATCGTGGAAGGAGTCTCTCTAGTGAAGAATGAGGGCGCGAAACGGGCGTTCCCTGCTTCGCTACCTGATGGGGACCTCAATGCCCTCCCGTCGGACCAAGTCGACAAATATCTCCATCTTGCTACTACGAAGCTTCTGCAGACGCACCGAGTGGTGATATCCCCGACGAGCATTGGAGGCGATGTGGGCAGATCCATGAACGAGGCGCGGAGTAAGCTAAAGAAGATGATTGGACCGATCATCGCTGGTGTTGCTATCAAGGGTGGTTTCCTCGCTATCGCGTTCCAGGCCATCGCTCTGATCGCCGGTAAAGCTTTGCTGATTGGTAAGATTGCTCTGCTCCTGTCTGCAATCATCGGTTTGAAGAAATTGGTGTCTGGTGGTGAAGCCCATGAAAAGACTACGTATGAGATCGTGAAGCACCCGCAAGTGTCTCAGAGTCACACGTATTCCTCTTCCCACTACGGCAGCGACTTCGACGCTACAGGACCTGGAGGTCACTACAGGAGGAGTGTGGAAGACGAGGCGGCTGCCCAGGATAGGGCATACAGAGCCTATTCAATGAAGCAGTAGACGATACTTTAGGAAGGTTGGCTTACGACTCCAAATACAAAATTTACAACGACGACGGCATTTCAAGCATACCCAAAGCTTATTTTTGAATAGAGACAAACATAATCACTAACTTATTTATTTATGAAACACATAATTAAACGATACTAATAACTATAATACTACGTTAATGTATTTACTCAGTAGTTACTGTAACGATCATTTAATCAATATTTAGTGGATTATTTTACAATGGCATTATTTATGAAACTGTAATCAAAATGTAAATAAGTAAGAGAAAAATTGACATTATATTTATGCATATTCGCGCGTATTTAAGTATTAGATAGTAACTAAATATGTAGTAATAATTGCACCAAATATAATGTTGATGTATTGAGTATTTTATACAGAAAGTATTTATATACTTAAGGTTATTTATTGTTTAAATATAAGTTAGGTTATTCGACGGGTCCCGTGCATTTTCGTCGCAACGTTCAATTGTCCAATTTTGTAAAAATAGCATAAGTTTACAAATAAGGTTTTGTATCTTATCGTAGTTCATTTAAGGGTGCTTTTAGTATAAGTAGCAGAATTATTTATAAACTACATTTCCGTTTTCTGTTAATTGTCGATAATAGACAAGGTGGTTACGCGAGTACCTTTAATATGAATATTTGTAATAATGTGTAACTGAATATAACTATAATAATAGTTTTGTAATGATTGTAGCTTGGATTATGGTTATATTACGTATGATGATGAAAGATATCCTAAGAGAGAGAGAGATAAAAAGAGATTTGATTGAAACCGTTTGGCTTGTTTTATTTTGGGGTTTGGAAATTTAGTGACATTCGAAATAAAAAAGGTTTGAATGCTTATCAGTCTTTCATTTAATCCCGTTCATAATAATATAACAGTTATGATCTTTACTACTAAATATATTTTTGTAAGACAAATAACTAATTGGCAATCGACTAACTAGAAAAAAACATCAGATTCTTCGCAATTAAATCATGATTGGATCCAATTTATATCTTCAGAATCAGATACATTGCCTCGTTAAAAGTTGTTCTTATGTGTAACAATAAATGTATAAATAACGATGTTGATCGTTAGATAGACTGTACATGAGTCGCATTTCCGACGAGAAAAATATAGGTGTAGTTGTTCTATCAGTATTATAATATAAACTCTATATTAGGACTATAATCTGACTATAGTTAAATGTAGAGCCGACAGCAAATCAATTACTTTACATTTTGTTGCCAAACTGCACCTTATTACAATTAATGCTTCAGATGCCACGGGATTAACCTCGATGTGCTGTTGTCCTAAGATATCATAGCGCTACATTAAATTGACCTATTATAAAGATCCTTAACACTGATACAAGAAAAACCATGTCTCCGACATTTATCAGACTAAAATGCTCATACATTTACTCGGACGTTCCATCCGACTAACGTATGAAAGAAATTAATATATGGAAAATGTAATCGTGACGAATTCTGTGACGGATAAGCGACGGCGCTTAAAAGAACGTGACAAAAACTCGAAGAATGCTTCCATCGGAAATATCGATCGAGAAAATATTGATCTGCAATTAGAATCACGAACATGTGAATGAGGAAGCTGAAAGAAATAGTCCGAGACGGTGACACAGAACAAATGCAACAGACAGCCCATTTAGAGGCGGATTTCTCGTTTATATGTGACGTACAGATAACGCTGTAATAATCAGCTGTTTGAAATTGCTGGCTGTAAATGCTTCGTTTAGTGACAAAGATAAATATTTATAAGCAAATCTTCGAGTCACAATTTGTAGATGCTATCTTTGGGAATACCAGGTCTGTAGCAGCGTTTAAGTTGAGTCTGATTACAAGAATGTTGTTCTTCATTGATTCCTAGTGCTTTGATCTCAAGAAATGTAAGTCACTATAGATTCAGCTAGCTAAATAAACTGAAATAGTTAGCCATGTCTTCAGTCTAAACCATAATAACTGAGTTTTTTTTTCTGATCTTCCAAACCAATATGCCGTATTATATTTATCCTTCATTCTTGCTAATTCTTTCATGCTAGCTACAAATCTAATCTGTGAATAAAATTTTTCTTCCATTCTCAATTTGAGTTGTTTTGGGCTAAAACATTTTTTTTGTTCACAGTGATGTTGCTGATTGTGTATTTGAGCTGTGACGTAGTTGTTGGCAGTGACCTAGATATAGGTCAGTGAACATTATAACAGGTGCAGTAACTTGGTCAGTATGCATTTATGTTAATGCATTACACTCTTATTAGATCTCTGGAACACAATTTAACTAGTAATGATCATAATATTGTAATTTCTTCAGCAACTACAACCATGTTTTAAAAGTAATACATACTAATACGTATGCATTTTTCTTAATAATGGGAGGTAATAATTTAATCATACGGTTGTTTGTTTTATTTTTAGATGATCACATCAAATATCGTATTTGCGTCAGTAGGGTCACCATAAATTAATGTATAAATCAGAAGGTTTATGTAAATAGTTTGTAGCCCCCGGGAATCGAGACACAACCTTGTTCGACCGCTTAAGATGGGAATCAAAGTCTGTTACATGATCACCACCAAGGCTTACAATATTTAAGTGTAAAGGCACTGTTGTTTCAATTTCATCATTTTACGAAGAGGATAGAAGAGAGCATTTCCTCAACAACTGTTCCACTGTCCGCATCCAGGTTCTTCCAAGTACCCTGACCAGGTTATCGGTCTACTTGGTCTCATTTTCCTTCATTTGATGTATCATGGTGATTTCCACCGTGAGTTAAAATAATTGATGTTGTGATTGATTGATTTATATCGCTAAATAAAATACCTTTTGGGAATACGGGCTTAATTAATTAATCTTTTTAATGGTGCACATAATATTTTTAAAATTATCTTATTAATTCCAGAGATCAAAGAAGCGAATATTTTAATACCGTTTTAGTAAAGATTTAGTGCTCTCTTTAGTTCTAAAAACCTTATAATTTGCTGACCAATCGACGATGTTAGTAAAAACTAATCACCCACTTTTCAAAAATATATAAGATTTTATCTCGCGTGTACATATTCTTTACAAAAACCCTCTTAATTGGCTATAGGAGAACCGTTGGCACCAATTAGCACAGATCAAAAACAGTTGGAGCAAGACATAACCGCTATAATAAACTAGTTTTGTTCCTGCGACTTCGGCTGCTTTATACAAATTCTGTATGAGGGGATACAGATAATTATTATTTTGCTCATTATGCATGAGTATTATTGACAACTAAATCGAATGATCCCTTTTAGACGAGTGAAGATTCTTCAAAAAAAAAGAGGAGATCTTTTTCAAGGGAAAAGGAGAGCCCATAACGTAAATCGTTTCAGAGTCGGTTAATTAAAGACAAAAAACAATAACAGTCTATTTAAATTATCGAATAAGGTGACACAAAAAATTACAAATTGAAATGCTACGAGCAAGAGCATAGAAAAGTAATCCTTGTCTTGTTTAAGCTTAAAGGCCTTTGAAATGGAACTACAATCAGTGTCACTCATCATTATTAAGTAATTTGGTCTCCAGGAACACGACCATAATTTTGGAGTTGGAGAATTTGACAGAAGGGTTGGGGTGACCTGACGTTCGCATATTGCTCCCTTAGTCTCATAAGACATCCACGAGAAGTAGGTACTGATCATACTTTCTGCTAGAATGGCTAAACTGAAAAATACTGGTAAGAATTTAAAATACTCGTACATAGAAATGAAAGAAAACCTCTTAGACACGCAAAATCGGCTTGAGGCACGAGGAGCACGCGATGCTGAACAAATACCCGGCATGGTATTTGTTGAAAAAACCGATGAAAGTATACGAGCGCGTGCGCACATCGCTGTAGTGGTGGATGCTTATATTAGTTTAGAGTTAAATTTACGATCCAATGTTTGTTGGGAGTTCGGGATTGGCGTTGGCTTTATTACAAATTATACGATCGAATCGCTTTTAGAAAATTGAAATAGTAAATCATACGAGCAGTTAGTTGATCATTTAGTAAATAATTGTTGCATAGTATTTAGATGCACTTTAGACTTAACGACAAGCGGCGTTCTATGAAACTTGGAAAATGGGATAAGAAAGTACCTATTTTATTTCTTTTTTAATGGGCGGTGTGACATAGAGAGAAAATAGAAGAAGTAAAACTTTTCATCATTAATTTTAGAATGTAATTGTATGATTTAATGGATCAATTTTAATAATATATTGTTGTTTGTCGGCAAATACGGACACATAAGTAAGACCAATACGTAAGTGCTAATTCCGGGGATTTACTTTGATTGAAAAGGATTTATTTATTCAACTACGAGTACCAGTACTTAATTAATTTAAAAAAAAATACATTAAATACACAAACACATAATACAATAAATGATATTTGTTTTAAACTTTTATAAACTGCATACGTAATCTTCCTGCCTAATAAATAAAGAACAAATTAGTCAAAGATGAAGACTGAGGCTTTCTCTAATATCCATTGTAAATGCGTACATCTTTTATGCCTAAATATCATTAATCAATAGAAAAAATTAATAAAAAATTGGTCATTGATAAAGAAACATACTTTCTTCAGCACCCAAGACGGACGCGCTTCCGATGCAGTACCACGCCGTTTCGAAATAATCAGAGCATGTAATCGCACGACAATGCAGGATGCAACGCAAGTGGCACATGTGAAAATGGTATCGATACAGACATTAATGGTGACGATATGAGTGACGATAATCGGAATCTTCTACTTGCTTTCATTAATATTTGTCCACCGACAAGGTTTGGGTAGCAGGAAGGCGCTGGATGCAGGTCGCTTCCAACCGGGCGATGTGGAAATCATTGGGGGAGGTCTATGTTCAGCAGTGGACGTTCCTGATTCCTGTAGTTGAAATGATGATGATGAATTGTCGAATAAAATGTTACCGATCGAAAAATAATGAATTTAAAGTAGTTGACTAGAGAAAATCTTGCATGATAATAATGATTCTGAGGATGGACTATTTGAAAAAAAAACACGGAAACAAAACTAAAATGTTTAATTTATGGCTGTTTATAATGTTAATACAATAATTTATACACACAAACCGATCACAATTTAAATCACAAAAAATTACTACTTCCTTCTAAAACCTATTATTTAAGATACATTTTAGCCTGCGTTTATAGGTGTCCAAGCGAAATTCCGAGCATTCCTGATTTTTCCTTCGTCAATGGGTTCTTCTATTTCCTTCTTAGTTACAAAAAGCCTTTCCAATCGGTCTCGTAACTCATCAGGGGTAATAGGAGTGGCCGTGGATTGCTCTGCTGCTGACTTTTCTCTGTAGTAGTACTCTGAGTGATGTGGTCGCCTGGATGAGTAGTATCCTGATAGGCCTGTAACGATTTGAGACACAATTTTATCAGTTGGTAGATCCTTATATCTTACACAATAAAGTCCTGATTTGTTAAAATCGTCACCAGTTTTAATATTACCTACTGCCCAAATTTCGTCTACGTCATTACTGTGTATTAGTCCTTAACCAAGCAAGCATGATGGTAGTGTTAAAATTAAAATGAATTCTTAAGATTCAGGACTATTCACTTACTCACTGTCATTTGTCAACGGGGGCATTTCAACTTATCAATTTCCAAAGGAAGATGGTTTAGTGATAGAACACCGACATGAAGTCGATGACTTGACGCCTGGAAAAGTTGAAAATGTCCCCGAAACAAAACACGTCTATAAAGGAACATAAAGAACTGAATAAAAGGAGCAATAACTCAAAAATTTTGGTTTTTTATTTTGAAAAATGCCAACAAAAATTTTCAACATTTGGAATTGTAGTCTTCATAACTATTGAACTACAAAAGTGACGTTTGTTTAGTTTAATTTTTATTTTTAAAAATGAATATTCATTAGAATGTAATAAAACAATTTTATTATAATTTTTCATTGAAATAAAGGCTAAAAGAGATCATACACATATCAAATAATATTGAAAGTGAAATGATTAGAAGAAACATAAAAACTGCGCTCCTAAAAATCAGTATTTTGAGATAATGCCCTATTCATATCGAGCCTTTACCGCCATTTTAGCGCAACCGACAAAAACCAAATTTTACAGGAGAAGGTTTTTTTTAATTATCTTTAATCAGAAGTGTGCTAATAACAAGAAAAATGACATACGTTAATGATTTTTAGAGATTTAAATACATGACTGAAAATAAAACAAAAATAATGAGTATTTATACCATTTATGGCGCATACAATATTTTTGCTGTCACAGTCTATAGATATTCGGGCGTTTACGATAACATTACCTATCAAAGTTACTATGTCCAAGAAATTATAATTGTTAAAAAATAGGCATTTTAAAAGGTTTTTAAATGAAATATCCACATAATAATCAAAAATTATTTATTCATAGTAATCGTTAGGAATAATGAGATCAAATTATACCTACTAAGATTATAAAATGAAATGAGAAATTTCTTCTTGTACAAATCAATTAACACCACTCTTATTGCATCTAGAGATTGCAAATATTCGATAGTTTTCTATTTCGAATATTCGAATAATATTCAAATATTCGAATACTTTAAAAATAAAAAGCACAAAATATCAATGTTTTTATTGCTTTAGGAACTATGTTTTAACTATTTAACAATAAAGTTTTTAATACAGTTATAAAATTCTCATCATCATCATAATTTCAGCCATAGGACTTCCACTGCTGAACATAGGCCTCCCCCAATGACTTTCACAATGACCGGTTGGCACCGGCCTGTATCCAGCGCTTTACCTTTTTCTCGAAATTTGATCTTCCTAGCCGAATCGTTTGTCAGAGGTAGACATACTTGTCAATAGTCAACAGTCTCGAGAATCGAGTTCTAACCGAAACATGGACGTTGGACATAATCTTCCTTTTTTCCATTATCATCCGAAGGCCTACCTGTTGGGAGACTCGATCAAAGTCTTCGAGCATTGTGCCAAGGTCTTCATGCGATTCTGCCATGACCACAATATCGTCAGCAAACCGCAGCTGAGTGATGTATTTGCCATTAATAGGTATTTATGCCGAATCCTTTCCATTCGAGGAGCTTGAAAGCGTCTTCCAATTCAGCAGTCAACGGTTTCGGAGATATAACATCTCCCTACCTCACGCCTCGCCGCAGAAGAATCACCTTGTGCTTTGCTCCTGTACTCGGACCGACATGGTAGCGTTTCTGTACAGGCACTTCAGCACTTCGATATACCAAGAGTCGGAGAGACTGCAGCACTGCTCAAGTCTCGATCGAATCAAAGGCCTTCTCATAGTCCAAGAAGAGCACCACCACGCTTCTATTCCATGCCTCTGGCGTTGTTCCCTGAAGTAAGACGGAGTTAAAGAGTCTCTGAACGAGTTTCGGTGTTCCACCTGCGTTCAAAAGCTCCGAAGTTATGCCGTCATCACCTTGTTGGAGCCTTGTTGTTCTTTAGCTGTTTGAGAGCCTTCCTAATCTCGTATAGGCTGATATACGGGATGTCTTTGGTATAGTGTCGCGTTAACCTAGCTCTTGCGTCTGTTGCTGAGCTATTAACAGGTTGGGAGGTATATAGCTGTCCATAGATCTTTTCGATCTCACCCAAAGCCGAGGTTCTGGCTTTTGTTGACGTTACCGTCCGCCGTCTTCAGCATCAGTCAGCTGACTTTGCTCAATAGAGTTGTCTCTTTCAAGTTATTTGGAACCTTGGTTTCGCTCTATCGCCTCTTTTATACTATGTGTATCGAAGTAGCGAAAGAAACACAACTACTTAAAAATGAACAAAAAAGGTAGAAACAAGACAACTTAGTGTTCACAAATGCAGTCGGAAGCATCAATGACTAGTTTTTTTAGATGGTGATATGTATTTGATGCTTCCGACTGCATTTGCAAACACTAAGTTGTCTTTTTTCTATCTTTTCTGTTTATTTTTGTAATATTCGAATAACATGTTAATTTACCATTCGAATACTAATTTGAAATTAAAAATTCGAATATTCGATTGCAATATCTAATTGCATCAGTAAACGCCCACAGTGAAGCGCTAATGTCGCTTGCGTTAACAAGTGCGGTCGCTTGCGACAAAATGCATGTGTCGCTTACGTTAAGTTTTAGAAAAAATGTGTATTCACGATAATTTTAGCACTTGCTATAACTTTGTAACGGTTTTTTTTGGCGGGAAACACCAACAGGGATGGGTCCGTTACGGTTTGAAATACTAGTTTCGATAAAAAACGGTTTTTTGACAAAAGTGTCGCTTACGATAATTTGGCGGTAAAGGCTCGATATAGACCAACAACTGTGTGAACCCAAAACAATGGATGGTGGTGAGCTTTCTATGGGTAAGCGCAAACACTGACAAAAAAGTGATGAAAAAATGAGTTTTTAATTATACTCGTAGTCAAACCAGGGCATTTATTAGATGAATTTCAATTTTTTCTCTTGTGAACATTTGTGTTGTTTCTCTCACGGATTTTAGAGCCTTGATAAATTTTATCTTTATGGGTAAGTAGGCCAGTTAGACATGAATTACGATTTTTGTGTCTTGTTTGTAATGTTCTTTCGTGTCAAATTGAGATAAAACATTTGCCCTTAAAGTAAATACTGAAGACTGAGAAATAGGGGGACGGTTATGGATCTGATATTATGACACTAACTGATTGTCCATTTTCACCACCAATTTTCAAGTGACCCCTATGGTAACACAAAACAGGAATTTTGCTTTCATAGGGATCACTTAAAATGATGATTGATGGTAAAAATGGGCCTATGAAAGGAATGAGGAATAAGCAGTAAGGAGGGGAAAGATGAGGGCCAAACTAATGAGGAATGTAATTAATTATTACCTTTAGGTAACTTACCTCCCGAATGGTGATCATGGTGATCGTGATAAGGATGATGATCATAACTCGTATAAGAAGAGAGCTGTGGTCCAAATCCTCCATAAGATCCATAGTTCCCAAAACTAGATCCTCCACTGAATACAGTCACAGCAAGTAACGCCAATTTTGCTAGTAAAAAGGCTTTCTTGCTGGCTATCAAAAGTAGTCCTAATAATAATGGCAGTAGAGTTGACAATTGAAATTTAAAGCCAAGGAGGAAGGGAACTAGCAGGTTTCTCGCTAGAAGGCGCCCTGAAAAAACAATACGAAGGTTAGAGTTTTTTACTAAGCCTATTGTGCAAAAAATATAGTATTAAAAACACTCGTACGAGTATAAAATGAAACCTAAGTGAACAAGGGAAAACTTTCGTCAAAGCAACACCTTCTAACATAGCACAATCATTGATAGATAACTCTAATGCCAAGGTTTTCCACTAGATGTCACTGTAACTTTCAAGTTCATTGCCTTGGCAGCCTTGAACGTAGGCTTACGAGTTAATTCCTTGCTTTTTGTAGAGGTGTCGCTAAATTCGTGTTAAGGTGTTTTTATGAAATCACATTAAAATAAAATATGATTAAAGGAAATCGTAAGATATGTTAGTTGGTATATTAAGTTATGTAGACGTAATTATACTATTAAAAGTTAATTTAGAGACTGGTGTAATGAGGATAGAATGTATTTGATTTGAAACTTTCTTTAACTCTTAAATACTCGTAGAACCTCTGTAGTTAGTTATAAAACTATTGGAAAAAATCATAAAAATATTGTAAAATTAAAAAGAGTCCACCTAAATATTTTTATAAGTAATTCTAAAAAAAGTTGTATATTTTGTAAACAAATAGGAAAATTCTAACGATATAAATATGCTACCTATAGGTATCGTATCTACAATTTCATTGATATAAATAATAATTTATTCCAACAAAGTATTTAGTTCCAAAACTACATTAATATTATTAAACTCAATAGTAGTATCCAAACCCGTAGTCATCTCATGCGGCTGTTGATGATACGTCCGATCTTTGATCCTCGGATCCATGACGAATTCCAATACACCATTGGCCAAGGTTGGTCCAACCCTCATGGCCAATCCCGGGTACAACGAACTCAGGTCCCAGTACAACGACCTCTTGGAGATCAGGTTACTGGCGTCCTCCATCATGGAACTAGTGTTGGGAGAAAACGTTGGACATTGGTGATTAGAAAGCTTTGTTTGTGAAGACAAATTGGAGGAACTTGTGTGTACTGATGGTAATGCACCATTAAATAAATAAGTGGACTTAAAATTATTGAGAACGACAAAGTGAATAATTTTATAATCTTTTATTAGTAGAAGTTTGGGCGGTGACATTGTTAGATTTAGAGCATAATGAAAAAGAATTTCGCAATTTCAAGGTTGCATCAAAGTAACAGTTTTTCAGTTATTGCCTCTTATTAATTTTAATGTCACTGAATCTAAAAGTAAGCAATAAATAATTTTTTTAAGAAACTAATAGGGTTTAAGGATTTTTTTTAATGGGACAAGAGGTAAACGAGCAAACGGATCACCTAATGGTAAATGGTTACCGCCGCCCATAGACACTCACAGCCCCGGGATTGTATTTAAAACTTTATTCAAATTTTCAAAATGTATGCACACAAATTAAATGAAAATTATTACTTTAAGGTGAAAGTAGAATTGATGTAAATACAATGTACCGAAAATCCATTGGATCCTTATCAAGAAAGCTTCCTATATCTCTCGGTGTCTTTTCATCTCTGACAAACGATACTCCTGTAGCCAAACTGAAGGTGTCAGCTTCATTGAATTTACTGAGTTTCTGTAGCAGTTCTTTTCCAAAACAAACTCCAACTTCTGCTCCTCTTTGCACACTTAAACATTCATTTAACTGAGAATCTTCTACATTGTTTTCTTTAATTTCTTCCCCTTCTTGCAAATTCAATTGAATAGGTATAACTTCGATTACATTTAAAGCGATTAAAAGGAACACAATTTTGAATAATCCAGACATTTTTGGTTTTGTTATTTTGTCACACACTATAAGGATATCTTTTGCATTTCAGGAACACTTGGACACAACCGATGGAAATGAAACAAATGTTACGTATAAAACTGTAACAATGCTCCAGCTGTTTTATAGACTTTCCTGGTTATGTCTCGTTGAACTTTGCCATTGTTTTGGCAAGCTCCGTCACGGGTCTTCCCACGTCTGCCCAACAATAAGGTGAAAATTCGATGTAGATAATTTGCAATCTGTGCGAGCTATCTCTTATTTCGTACTGTTACGCCGCATTGCATAATTTTTGTAACACAAAAGATTGATTTGCATATTTAGCTCATGCAAGACTTCTGGTGGAGTAAGACCATTGTAAGTTACTCATTGTTTTCAAAAAGAGGTGATTTTAGAATGAGGGTAACACATGCCTTCAACTCTACCTGGTTATTGTTATTGAATAAACACAAACTTACTAATAATTATTAGTTGCAAATAGCGTGGCAGCAAAAGACACGTCTTCATAATAACTAAAAAAAATGTCTAAATGTGATTCCGTTACACACTACAAGTAACTGAACGTATTGTATGATCCAGCAAGGTGTTATTCGAGAACTTCATAATTTATGAAATTACAGTTAGGTAGCTCTTACTAAATCATAAATAATCTGTAAATATCAATCGTTTGATACAAACCTATAGCTCATCGCAATTTATTAAAAGCTGCTCTAAACAGCTATACAGAATTTCAAGATTGAGAAACATTAACCAAATTCAACATTAACAAAAAGGACCGTTCATTGTGGAAAGCCTTGGGGGAGGCCTTTGTCCAGCTGTGGACGTCATTTGGCTGAAACGAACGAACGAACGAACGAACCAAATTCAACAAGTCCCATTTAATAATCATGTAAATGATTCTTGCCTTCAGTATACTTTAAGTGACGTAATAATAAATAGTCATGAAAGTTTTGAAGCATTGATTTAACTCATGTCCTCAAAATTGAACTTGTTTAGAAAATCAAGACAACATGGCTTTGTCCACGCATTATGACGTTAGCCATTGAAAACAAAAACTATTATCTTTACCATTGCATAAACATTATGACTTTTACTTTTAAAAGTTTCATCTGACATAGAAACTAAGTTCGATACTGAAGCACCGCCTTCAAGAGCCTTTGACCCCTCATTGTTTTACAACCTGCTTGCTCACGAATCTCTAAAAACGTCTTAAACTTCATCAACTATGACTCTGACTTCTTCTTTACCGTTATTATTTTAAGGTTCAAGTTCATTTGCATTCGGATTCTTATCCGCGTCATATTCGACTATACTATTTGGAAGAAGTAAAGTAGTGAAAGTACGTTTTTTTAACATACGTCCGGCTTGCCTTAGTAAAAGTTTTGCCTGACGTAATATCTTTACAACTTTACAGTAAACTGTTTTCAAATTTGCCTTTTGGTGGATATAATTAAGAGCGCGATTTTTTGTTATTAAATAACAGGCTCATTACTGGAATGTAAATTATATAAATTAATGTATACGAAATATTTATTTTAGAAAAGTTTCGTTGCGTGATAATGTGCAATTACTTGCTTATTAGTGTCGTTTAAGTACATAAAATGTACATAATAATGAATTTATCTATTTTTTATTTATATTTTCTAGACAATAAAGTGATAAATAAAAAATAAACATCTTTTTTGAGTTTTTTATTCAGCTTTGCTTGTTTGTTTCACAGTTAGCAATTAATTTTTGCATTAGCACTACTCGATCGCGTTAATATGAAAAAATATGTGACAGAACAATACATGACCTCTAAGATGTTTATTAAGTTTCAGCGTTGCGAGTACATTGTTTTTTATCAACTTATAATATTGTTAGAAGCGGTTAGATCGTTCAATAATAAAAATGTTTTTGTTTTAAATAAGTCTCTTTTGAATGTTATTGGTTGCAACATTTGGTAATTTTTTTACCACTAAACAATTTAAAATATTTTTTATTTGCTATCTGCCTGTGGTTCCTCTACTTACTATAGTTTGTATGGCATTAGGAACAATGAGATAATATAATTTTCATCCGCAACTTGAAATTTAAAGTAAATTCAAATCTAATATTGCAATTAAAACAGAGGAAATGTTTACAAGTATCTAGTAAATAGGGTAAACCAGAGAGTGATTGCCCACTGGTAGTGATTGCCCGCTTTAAGAATAATATTATCAGGTGCTGACTTTGAATCACTCTAGTTAGATTTGAATTTACTAAGTAGATGGCTCCGAGATCAATGTACAGTAGATTTAAAATTTACAATAGGAAACACTAAAAAAAACAGTTATGGCGGATTTTGTCAAGACGGGTGAAAATGTTACTCAAACAAGTAAAGACTTTAACAATTTTACTAAGGACACTTGAACTGATATCAAAGAAGATAAAAAAATAAATACATATAAAATTCAATTTTTTGCGTCATCTATGTTTTGAAGTAAATGATTCTGTCTCTACCGATTCTGACTCATCAACATCAGCTCAAGAAATATTTGATAATTATGTTAATAAGGCCAAACGTAATTTATTTTGAAATTTTGAAGACTGTACTACTAGAATTTAAGTTTAATATTTTGTTTTGTTTATTTAAAGCCTATTTTGTCATTTTAAAATTGATTATTTTGTTTTAAGGTACTGGGCAATTACTGTGCTTTGATGTGGGCAATTAGTGTAAGCAATGGGCAATGACTGTACTTTTTGGAGGATTTTAAATTTATTTCAATATTTTCTAAGTTACGTAAGTTTTAACTAAAATATGTTAATATTATGTTTAACAGTTTATTGAGCTATAAGAAAAAAGTCATAAATGGTCGATAATTAAAATACTTTCTTTAATATTTCATCTCAATGTGTTTGAAATCTTTAAGTGGGCAATAGCTATACGGTTTACCCTACCAAGAATTCTGGAAAGATATCGTAACTAAAACAAAGAATGTTCTTCGAGTAATTATTACGGTTGATATAAATCTTTGTCATTGGCTTTTTTAAATTACATCCAATATTAATGCGAGGATCCAAGTACTGGCTATTGAGGACATCCATTTTTCTTTCGTCTGCCCCATGACCCGTTATTTTCTGCCATTACTCATCGGTTTGCTTTCGCTGTTTTCGCCGGAGGGCCATTGACTTTCTGTACCTCACGTGTTTTATGTAACCTCCCCCTCTTATTTCTCCCACACAACAAAAACCGATTCTCTCTGACATTCAACAATCAACGGTTCACTAATTTTTACTTCTTATTCCAAAGGTTTTACAGCCCAATATTGCATGTCACTCATTTACCCGTACGTATCAACTTCACGAGTGGTCACTGCGTCTTCAGATCTTGTACCTTCTTCAGATGAGTGACGATGGTTAATACACTTTACACCTCCGTTATAAAGTTGAGAATTACTTGATTACTTAATTCGAAGACTTGTGCGCGCCGGTTCTTTAGGCAACTTGTCTTTTGCGGCTTCAGAAGTTACCCTTCGATTAACAACACCTGTGTGACGTGGTAATAAGGTAGAGTTTCGCTTAAACGTCAGTTTTAGAGGTGTGTAGTAACATTTATGTTTTAAAGGAAAAGCGTCTGTTGAAAACCGGACACAGGAACGCATGTGAAGAGAACTTTCTTTCATTTTTTACGAAAGGATGTCGTAGGTGCGTTTGACCTACATATTTTTGGATGACGTAATAAGAATGCCTACTGACGCGTAGCTTCAAAAGAATGTTATTGTGCCTTCCAGACGTCATTTGAAGACGGCTTTTGGTCATTGACCCAATAAAAGGAAAGGTAGAAATAACAAAATGAAGTCGTTATATTATTTTGATTGCAACATTTCGTGAAAATTCTTCCTAGTCAATTCTTTATTCGGCTGACAACTAAATCCGGTAACTGTTTAAGTGTTAATTAACGCTAGTAAAGATATTAAAATAAGCATTATATTGTTATTTTCGTTCAAAAATTAGATATCAAATTGAATTCTCGAAAAATCCAATAGTATAGAAGTACAAATTAAAAATAAAAGAAAGTGTGTACTTTGGAACATAAAATTAAATTCCAAATGAGCAATATTTTTATAATTGCTAGTTTTAATTGCGATTTGTTAAGTTCTAATAAAATAAAAAATGCTGAAAATTACCAACAGTTTCAAGATAAAAATACTGTATTAGCTAAATATTGTTGATCTGTTAGTTTAACTACTGGATTACAACACGAATTGCAGGTTCGTATCCCGCTAGGAGCAAATTCTTTTCAAATATTACATTATTTACTTCAGTTATAAATCTCTGACTAATTAGCAATTATTAATGATCTTTGAAATTAGGTCAATCACCATTAATCCATAATTTTTAAGTGACCCCTATGGTAACACTTTTTGTTTTCATAGGGGTCACTTAAAATTAGGGATTGATGGTGAAAACGGGCATTAGTGTGCTTGCTATCAGTATGGAACGGATTAAAATACGTATGATAATATAATATTATCTTAAAAATATGTATGTTATTCTGTTAAGAAACGTAGTACCTATATCATGCTGTAGCATAATTATTCTACGTCATTCATTCACAACTTCGAGTTATAGTTTCCGGTAGTTGAGTGTATAACTTGACTCATATCTTCTTGTCACTCCACCTTTCACTTGAGATATGAATAAAAACAGTAGTAAAACGAGTATTTTTCGTTATGCATATCTTGTTATAGAGAACAATAATTCTTTAACAATAGATTTTCAATTAAATAGACAAATTAGTATAAACAGGAGTAGCTAAGCTAAGCTACGAGTACAATAAAGAAAGAAAAATAGTACATACTATTTGGGATATGAGTACAAGAGCATTGTAAGACATTGCATAAGTAAAACGTTGCTTCCAAAGCGTAGTTTTTGATTTATGCGAGTAGAAATTCACAGCCTCTGCATCACCAATATTAAGTCGTCAACCTATACCATACCTACATAGTAAAATAAGAAAGTGATATCTAGTTTCTGTGACAGGATGTAGACATTACGTAAAATATTCTCACGTGCCCACAAATTTTAGTACTATGTTAGATAATTAGTGATTCTCAGATTTCATTAACCATCGTGTTTGTATAATCACGAGAAAACAGGTGTTGCTTACGTAAAACGGGAATCCTGATTTCAG